TGTCTGCATCACTTCAATGAAACGATGCCGAAGATGAACTTGCATGACACAAGGAAGGAGCGACAAAGGACACTCTAGGAAGAATCCACACAGCTTTAGGAATTGACCCTAAGCCCTAAACCCTAAACCCTAGGTTTGCCATGCTTCAGGATTGAAGGTGTGCAGATTTGGGAGGCCTTCTGAGGCACATAGACATAGGAGGAGTATCCAACCCTAAACCCTAAACCCTAAACCCTAAACCCTAAACCCTAAACCCTACACCCTAAACCCTAGACCCTAAACCCTACAGACCATGCCGATGTCTGCTGCTTCCGGCGAGGCAGCTGGGTTGTTCATTAGTGTAGGTATGCTTTCAAGACCTTCATTGCCGTGGGACAGCTGAGTTGCAGATAAATTACAGGGTTTAGGGTTTAGGGTTTAGGGTTTAGGGTTTAGGTACTATCTCGTCGGGTGCATAGAGAGATCTTGCGAGCGCCATGCATGTAAGCTGGTCAGTGAAGAGCTTCATTTCGGGATCAAGATCACCCGCCTTAGCTACACTCCTGCCTAATATAGGGGCCTCAATAATTAGAATAGGGGTTGGGGGTATATCATACTATAGTTATAATAAGAAACCCCCAAAACCCGATTCTAATTATAATAAGGCCCCTACATTAAACCTCCAAAATCGGAACAAGGTTTTGGGGTACAGTATACGATGAAACACATAGTAGAAAACCTCAGTCATGATGTTATGGCTTCTTCCGGGCAAGACCCCCGGTCCAAGATCCTAAGCTGTAAACCCCAAACCCGAAGGGAAACCCTGAAGCACCAGAGCCCCCTCTCCGCACACCCCTACAACCTCGTTTCAAGTTTCGGGTTTGGAGTGTACCCTAAACCCTACACCCTAAACCCTAAACCCTAATCCCTAATCCCAAAACCCCTAAACCCTAAACCCTAAACAGGCTTATCTACAAGTCTACAAGGCATAACCGAGACGCTGCAAGCCCGACCCGGGCTGAAACACGGAAATTCCTCAAACCCCAAACTGGCACTCCTAGCAAAGGAGGCTGGAACAGTCTGGGGCTTTCAGTCTTCAGTCCTTTTCTATACCTCTTTCACGAATACGCTTGAGGGGTTGAGCACCGTAAGATTTCCGACCTTCATGTCACGCAGCACTGAGCACCCAGAAGCCCCCCGCACCTCCACATGCCCCCTCATACCCTAGAAAGAACCCCGAAGATTAGCAGAGAGAAAGGAGACTAAGAACAACGCGTATCAAAGGTTGACCGTTTATGAACAGTTGCAGACAAGTCACCATAGTACTTATCCGCGGGGAAATAAGCACTCTGAATTTTGATCTACTGCATTGTACTGGGTTGCAATCTGCTGCATTTTCGTCGGATTGCATTGCATTGCATTGCGTAGTGCTGCATTGCATGTGTGTTGGCGATTGGCATTGCATTGAGTTTTGTTGCATTACACTGCATGATGTTGTATTGTACTGGTTCGTGTGTTAGTGTATTTGTATTGTATCGTATCGCAGTGCACGTGCGCGTGCAATGCATGCAAACGTTTTGGCAATTCTGTATAAAACTATATGTAATGTATATGTAGACAGGTACAAAGAAAGATAGAAAGCATGAATGATAGCAAGCTAGCTAGGTATCTAGCTAGCTAAGTATTAACAAGTGGATAGGTAGATACACCGATCGATCAATAGATAGGTACAAAGACAGAGAGACAAAGAAACAGCGCGGCTGCGAGACAGACCGACTGACTGACTGACCGACTGACTGACTGACAGGCAGGCAGTCAGACAGACAGACGGGGAAACGGATAAACGGGCTTTACCATGTCTGCACCAGGCCCTAAACCCTACACCTTAAACCCTAAACCTGAAACCATACAATCAGAGCCAACCTAAAACGATGTCACTGCCTGCGCGCTGCGGGTCCTCAAGCGCAACAAACGCTCGGCCTCTGCGAGATAGGGCAGCGGCTGCATCCAAGGGTTTAGGGTTGCGCGTTTAGGGGTTAGCAGCCGCCTGAACCCCAGTTAACCTATCTTTAATTAATTAATGACCTTTGTGAGGAAATCATGACAAGCAGCCCCAAAAAATCAAGTTGCTCGGGGTTAAAATAGGGCTGAGGGTATCTTGACTATGTCTTCACAAGTAAGATAACTCTGGGATGTGACAGGCAAGTGGCCCGCAAGGAATCTGCATGTCGTCGCGAACGCGAAGACTCATATGGGGGTTTCCGAAAATAGGGGAACCTAATATAGTACCCTAAAGAATAGGATCCTTAATACAAGGACCACAAAATAAGGTACCCCTAATTTTCGGAAACTCCCATATCTAAGTTCTAAGACCCTTAGGGTTCTCAACCAGGTAGCCCAGAAGGAACCTGTCGTAGCGTCTTTAAATACTTGTAGGTTTGGGCTACCGGTACTTCATGTTTTTGGACTCAGGCACCGATGACGCTTATGGGGCTTAACATGACAAAGATCATGAAGACTCCTCGTTTCTCGGATCCGAACTCATCCAATTAACGAAGACGAACACTCTCAATGGATACCTTGACGACTCAAAAGATAGACACAACAGTTCAGGGCTTATAGTGGTCTTACAGTTACACAGGATTCAGGATGTCCAAATGGGTAGTTCTCTAAATTAGGGTCCCCCTTTAGGTCCCCAATATAATACAGCCCCCTGTCAAAAAGGACCCTAAAGGCGACCCTAATCCCGAGAACTACCCAAATAGGAAGGGACAAACACGGTTTCTTCACTGGCAGTGTCGGTCACTGTTTGGGTATCAACATGGAAAGCTGACGTTCTTGTAATGTAGGTGCCTTAATAAGTAGAAAAAGATTTTTGGGGGCTCCTTATTATAACTATAGTATAATATACCCCAAACCCTAGTCTAATTATTAAGGCCCCCATATTAGGCTCCATTTAACATCCCATCGTCGAGGCCTTAGATGTTGGAACCCTTACTTGCTCTGCTCTTCAAAATGTTAGCAAAATCCCAGAAGCCTCCTAAACCCTAAACAAACTATCTCAAGAAGGCTCCAAGGCAGCCAAGTGCCTGCGCGATGTCCCTTCGCCAGGAGCCGAAGACCATCGCTAGGAGCCGTCGACCTACTAAAATCGGTGCTAAGCTTTTCGAGAATAGGGGACTCTAATATAATACCCTAAATCGTAGGACCGTTATGATAAGGACCCCAAAATAATGTACCCTAATTTTCTGAAACCGCTCTGTCTTGTTGGATTTAGGGCTTTGGATCTGTCGCCTGGAGTTCTGTATACTCTCCCAACAAGTAACCGACAAAACTGCTGTCCTGAACCCAAGAACCTGATGTAGGGGCCTTAATTAAGTAGAATACGGTTTTGGGGGTCCCTTATTATAAACATGGCACGATATACCCCTCAACCCTCTTCTAATCCTACACCCTAACCCCAAACCCCCTAAACCCTAAACCCTAAACCCTAAACCCTAAACCCGTTACTGAGGCCCCTCTGTTTGTCTTTGGGTCCTTTGGAGCCTTAGGGTTCCTGCACAAGCCACGGGGCTGGAACTTGGGGAGACGAATCACTTGATAGGAGGAACCCTACGCATAGAGTTTGGGGCTAGGGGTTTAGGGTTTAGGGTTTAGGGTTTGGGGCTAGGGTTCAGGGAAAAGGGTGTAGGGTTAAGGGATAAAGAAAGGACGGATCCGCGTAACATTGAAGGCCTGAATACTCAGGCTAGGGCCTTAGCTCATGCTATACTCTAAGTATACACAAACCGTATTGGACAGTCATTCGTAATTCTGGAAGTTTAGACCTCCGTACTATCCCCCTCGTTCTCAGGTTCCTCGCCGTCCTCTGCCTCTTCGAAACGCTCGACCTCTGAGCCAATGCCTCCAGCAGCCGGTGCAGGTGCATCCTCGGTCGACTCATTCATCAGACTCGTCAGCTTCTGGAGGACGATGCCCTTCAACGCCTGCTGACATGTTGTCCTGACCTGCGCTGTGTCCGGTACTGCATACATCTGCATACTCAAGGATAAGGGGAATGCATCAGCAACTAAGTAGATCGCCCAGCAGCCCCTAAAGCATATCCGGAACCTTTGAAAGGCTCGAAACCTAAACCCCAAACCCTAAACCCAGGGAGAAAAAGTATAGACTTTTCTTTCATAATGGTTCCTTTAAGGACCAGGTCCCAAAAAAGTATTAAAGTATGGTACTCCAAAGCCAGTTATGGGGCTTATGATAGGGCCTGAGGGTTTTAGTCCAATACAACTTAACTGCGCTCCTAAACACACAAAACACGGTACCTTCAAACCTCCTATATGTAAGCCCGCATACCCTACCAACATTAACATGCCACGGCGATGTGGCTGCCCGGACGAAAACAAATCTCCCAATTCCCGGTATTTAGTAATGTAGGGACCTTCCGCGTGCTACGTTTGTACCGGAAAACACAAGTGTCGAGGTTGCCGTTGGTGCTCTGTTCCTTGCAGAACAACTAAATCACACCTGACACTGCCCAGCTAGAAGAAAATCATCCCCAAAACCCAAACTTACGCCTCAACGCAATCTTCAACACTTAAGCCTTCCACCGTTGACCCTCCAACGCCCACATCCTGAAACCCCACCCGAAGCTCGTAGACACCCAAGCGAAACCTCAAACCCTGAATCCCTGAACCCGAAAACCCTAAATCCGAAACTCTAAGCCCTATAGCCCTAAACTTGTATAGTAGAAGCCAGAAAGTTGGAACATGCTTATCCTCATGCCCTTAACGTAAGGTATAGGGAATCCCCGCACTAATCATCCTAAATCCTGTTCCACCTTCCCTTCTGGGGTTCACTGTAAAACCCTAAGGGTCCAAGTGCCCA